CCCCCCCCCCCCCATATGAAAGAAGAATATTCATATTTTTTTGAATCAAGTAATAATAACATTTTGAGTAAAGTTATCTTTATTTATAGAAAAGTACTATTCTATATAATTACATTAGTAGTCCGATAATTTTTTCTTTAATTTATCGGTATTAAACAAAATGAGTTTGATCCTGGCTCAGAGTTATCGGGTCTCTGGCAGATTTCAAGATTATTACAGGTCAAATGCCTTATTTTATTCAACAAAAACCAGCTCGCTATAAAAATATTGGGTCTAAGGAGGGTGTAGGGGGTAAATTTACTCTTCGGGGATCAAACATGTATGCTTTTTTATATAAATTTTTATTTGATGTTCTACCAAAGTCAAATGACTACGGCAAGCAACAAATGAGTACGCCCCCCCCCCCGGCAGGGCTCCTCGCTCTATCTCCTAGCCTCTCCTCTAATAATCCAATATGTTTAAAATTTAAATGTTTCGTATGTTTCAAGGCCCATTGATCAACCTTTTCTCTCTGCGCTTCCAACAACACGCCTTCAAAACTTTGTTGTATGCATACATTGTGCTGCTGCTGTGTTTTCCTGTGGCACTGCTGTGGGGGACGCTAAGAGCAAAACATAACAACAACAGCAAGTATGAGCATGGGTTGTGGTACCTAACCCGCCCGCCCGCATTTCATAACCTCCATGAATAGCTTCGGCCTGTGCTGCGTATTCCTGGGTCATGCTACGAATGGTCGCTATATATTTGTAGGTGTTAGTTTATGCTTCTTAACCTAGCTCACAAATGGTGCTCAAGTTGTGAAACCTCAAGGCCACTGGTGCGTTGGACGACTCATTCGTTATTGTCTCCTCCTTCGTACTTCTACATACAGTACCATGGTACGTTACCCCGACGACCAGCGGGTCAAACGGTGTTTCCGTGACTGTAATATTGCGGTGTACAATACGTGCAAAGATGTAACCTTGGGTGCTTTGATGCTTTTGAGATTCGTGGGGGACATGACTCGGGGGGCGTTTACTGGGAACAAGCCTGTACGGGTGCGGTGCGGAAAAACCGCGAGCTGCGGTTCTGGCGTGGGAAACTCCAATCCAAATCAAAGCTTCCAGAGTACCTCGTATCGGGACAACGTAAAATGGTAGGCGGAGATCTGGGGGAAGATGGACGAAACACAACATCGTCAGAACACGGGCAGCACACACTGCTGCTGTTGTGTCTTCTACATTTACCGGAAAACGCAAAATGACATCAAGAGTATCATGACAGACGAAATGGACTGGCCTGTAGCCTATAGTTGTGAGACTCCCGCTCAGTAGGGGGGTCAGAGATTCCCGAAAAAGCCCTACAGCGAACACGGGCCGATGTCATCAAATGTCTGCATGCGATTGGAAACAGGTGTCTTCTTCAAACTTTGACTCTGTACAAGAGAAACAATACTGCTGTATGATTTGTGTTCTGCTGCGAAACTGCTGTGTGTATTTATTTTTCCTGGTAATCAAAAGCAAGCGAGGGACGGGGTTCGGGAAAGCGACGTCAATCTCCTGAATCTTGTATAGCAGGCAAGAGTCCCGTTCCGAGGAGGCTCTCATGAGGAAACGGCTGCTTGGTTGCATGGGACCGCGGCGCTCATGCATGCAGCAAACAGCAACAGTAGCAACAGCAGCAGCAGCGGACAGAAGCAGAAGCAAACGATGTTCGCCCAACACTCTACACACTGCTGTGTCACATTGGCCTGCTCGTAGGCCGTGTGTGAGAAAGGATGAGCTTCCTATAGAATGTGGTTGTCAACCGACTTGGAGGAGTGGTGTTCTGGTGTTCCGTCACTGGTGCTACTGCTGTGTTACAGTTCTTCCTGCTACAATGTGTTCCGAGAGAGAGCATCAGTGAAGCATACACACAAGGGGAGGCTGAGGAAGGTGTATAGATCTCTGGGATCGGCAAACAGCCAACAAACTATTAACCAGACGTGAGCTCCAACTGGGGAACATGACTCTAAAGGGTCGTCTTGCC